AATGAGGCACCTTTGACGTCGTCGTTCACTGATTCCGGTCAGCGGTGCTGCAGCAGAACGACGCTGCTGATTACAGAAGTATTTCCCGTTACTTTGACTCATTACTGAGAGTCCACGAAACACTCACTGTGTGACTTTACAAAGTTTGTCACTTCCTCCTTCCTGGAGAGTGCAGTCGGCCTGTTCGCTGCTGTGGATTCCAAAGGTTAGTTTCATGATTGAAGCATCAAAACTTCCTCAGAAACTAACATAGAAGCGAATATGGAAGTTTAAGTTCTCAGCATCGGACGCTGATGTCAGCAGCAGGAATCTTTAACATCATTTTCAACCCAAATGTGTTTAAATTCCTTTTTTTCTGCGTTACAATCATTAAAAACAAAGAAAGCTTCCTCTAATGCTCGTTTTAACTGAGTAAGATCTGACAGTTATCTTCTTAGTTAGCTGATTTTGTCTGTACGATGAGTGAACATATTGAAAAATGCAGATTACAAATTCCTCATAAACAATCCAGAACAGTGAGAGCATCAGTTTCCTCCCTTATAGGACAAATAACTGACCGATCAACCAATCAATCGTTTCAGCTCTGAAATCATTGGCTAGTTTGTTTTCAGTCACCAACATGAAAACAAATCTTCACAGTGCACATTACACCTGTACTGGACTCCTGTTGCTCCACTTCGTATTGCTGCTGATATCTCTAGAGTTTTATTGCCCAGGCGTACTCAATATATTATCGGTGTCTGAAAGGTTGCTGTTTATGTAAGTAAGCATTTACAGTCGTGACTCAATAACATGAATAAACAATCCTAAACCTTGCTATAAAACAAACGGAACCAATAAAAACAGCCTTAATATACCAACAGCCTTGGATTCTGACTCCGATTTTATGTCACCAATCAGGATAACGGCGTATTATCTGACTGAACAATCCCACAGATTGGCTACGTTCACACTGCAGGACTTGATGCTCAATTCAGATTTTTTTGTGAAATCTGTTTTTTTTAAAGAGTTCGTTCACATTTCCAGTTCAATGCGACTTGTATGTGATCTGCTGTGTGAACTTCATACGACCCAGAAGTGTCCCGCATGCACAGAAGAGGACACGACGACGTCACACGCAGTGAGCGTGCTCAGTGTTTGTGGAAGTAAACATGGATGGTGGCGGCGGCGATGGTGGAAACAGAAGTGTGAGCGCTAACTAAACTAACATCAGCAGCCAAATACTGCCTGTGTGTTCTGGACACTTCCACTTTGTTGGAGCGCTCTCCTGGGGTGGAAGTGTCCCCCGCACCGTGCAGAATATTCGGATATTCATCATTAATTGGGCCTGAACATCCAGACAGTTCTATTGGGACCAGCCCTACTAGTTATTATAACAACTATGAACAATAATTAACAACTAATGAGCCTTCCAGCATCAAGCCCTCCTTCTATCTGGACCTCCGTGCCTTTACAATCCGACAGCCTTGCTATCAGACATAAAAGAAGGTTTTACATTTAGCGTCGGATTATCGAGTCACGACTGTTCGTGTGTTTTCTATCTCACCTTGTTACGTCCAGTTCAGCTGTGTGTGAAACTTGCTATGCAGGTAAAATTGACTTGATTTTAACCTCAGAGTAATTCCGGTTCCTCGACAGAAAGGTTGCTGCTGTCATGTTGGAGAACCTCCTGACTCCAGGGTGTTGTTTTTTGTGTCTCTAGCTGTTTGTTGTTGGTCCTGCTGCAGCATGTTGTCACCTCCCTGATGGTATTGCCTAATGCACGTTTTAAATCGCCCCAAACCTTTTCACGCTGCTACCTGTATATATGTTTGCTGCTGTTTGACTAAAATAATCTTTGCAGCTATTGATCACTGGCTCCACAATCACTCTGCGTCCTTATAATCATATCAGAATAAATGGTTGATTGCGCTTCGTTAACGCAAGTGGCTTTTAGTGTACTGTTAGCTAATGATTAAAGTGTAACCCTACTGAGCTCCTTTCTTGATTGTAGGCTTTTCCTGCTCCTCCGCCACTGACCTTTATTAGTAGCCACATTTTAGTTAGATAATTACCCCACTAGATGTCCTTCATGTCGTCACAGAAGCGCGTCATGTGTTTACCGCCAAAGGTATTTGATTGGTACGATTTCTGCTGTCGGGTTTGTCCTCTGTTATATAGATGTGCATGAAGCAAAAATACAAAGTGATGCATTAAAATTGCTTTTTGAATACTTGCAGGACTCATCGGTGGCCCTTGAATAAATATGTGAAAGCACTACAGAACACCTGAGAGCCCAACTTTGTTCTATTACAGTGTATTTTTAATTGCGACTAATTAGTTCCTTTTGAGACATTTCCACCATAAACTAAGAGAAAGACAAAAATCGGTGCGGAAAAATTCACTAAAATGCAGAAAATGAAGTGTTGCTCAAAGCATCAAACCACTAAAATACAAAAGTATAACTGATAAATTAGCTGGGATGATATTTCTGCTCATTTTGCAGCAGATAGTGACCAAGAAGGATGCAAAAATGTACAGTAGATATTTTATTTTTTCTTATTTAGCGCTACTTGGTTGTTTAATATCCAAATTGAAGGGAAGTTTGTTTAATTTATGTCTTTCCAGGAAAAAGATTATTGGCCAAAACATTGTCATTAGGATATTTGAAGATGTTCATGTCTGTGTTGGCCTCAAACAAGTCGTGCCATAAATTAGAACATATTATTATTAAAGCAGTGAGCTAGATAAAGAACATGTCAAAGCTCAGACAGACAGCGAGTCCAGCTTCAGAAACACAGCGTCCCTGCTGATGAACATTCAGTCTTTTGTTGGCCGTTTCCTGTTCGACGCACTCACATCTACACATGCAGGCGTCCTGCATCACCGTTGCTGCTGAGCCCGACTGAGTGACGTTCTCCTTCAAAAAGCGTTTATTCCCTAAAAAGTGCCAAAGATGAGCTTTTATTTCCGCTTTTATTTTTAGGAAAGTGGCGTCAACCGAGGGGTTAATGCAACGGTTTTTAAAAAAAGGACCACTCGGTTGAGTCAGTGACATAAGTGGATGACAAAAAATTACATATTAGAGAAAGTTCATCTGACTTCCTGCCCACGTTCCCCAAGCATTTGTGTATGCCTGCGTTAATAGGGGGATTTTGTACCCTGAAGCCAAAGTGGATGAAATTAAACAGATGGGTGCTGCTAACTAATAGTAATGCCTCTTTTAAGGTCAGACCATTTTTCCGAAAACAATGACTGAGTCGTGCCAAATAGTGGAGGCCCACCAAGCGGCCTGAAACTGCAGTTCCTTGAGTGGCCACTTGAGGCAGCTCCAAAAGCAAGTCAGTCCTCATAGACTTCCATGTTAAAATGCCAAACATTACAGCAGAAGTAAACATGTTTGCAGTCTGTTACAGCAGCGGTTTAAGTCTCTGTAGCCAATATCCTCATTTAGGACAATAATACGACGGGTGAATTTTTCCGTTACTTACCCATTTATGTTGTATGAAAGCTTAAAGTTATGTATAATTAAGTGTATTACTGCTTTGAGTGACAGCTGGGTACCGTTTGCATGACCTCCCTCAGCTCCACTACTTGGGCTTATTTTTGGATTATCCAGGAGTTTGGTGGAGTCCAACACCACATGGATCATTAAAACCACTTCTCAGGAAATCTGTGGGTGTTGCCACAGAGGATTTGTCCATCTGTATGTGCAGCCAGTGATCATTTTTTCAGTTGATAATGATAATTGTTTAATTTGAATTTATAGCATATAAGCAGTTATTTTAATGTTACCACAGCAACCAACCAACCAACCAATCAAAAAACCATTGAACCAACCAACAAACCAAACAACAAACCAACCATCAAACCAACCATCAAACCAGCCAACAAACCAACAAAATAACCAACAAACAAGCCAACAAACCAACCAAACCAACCAACAAACAAGCCAACAAACCAACCAACCAATCAACAAACTATCACACCAACAAACAAGCCAACAAACCAACCAACCAACAAATAATCTCCTAGGGACATACATTCAATAAAGAAAACAAGTAATAGAGGGTGACTCAGGCTGAAACCGTCTATCACACCTGGGGATACCTGCACGGTGTAGTGTTTTGTTATCATTAGGTATCGATATCGTTTTATTGCCACAATATTTGCAAGCAGCTCACTTAACACTGTAAATAATTGTTCAGGACGTTATGCACAGCTACTCCTAAACATGCACTTCTTATGTGCCCACAATAATGGCATTACATTGCTATTTACATTACATACACTTACTGTACATCTGTCTTTGGGATTTAGACAGAAAAAACATCTGATTTTGGCTGCTGTTGAAATTTAAGCATCTCATCAGAAAAAAGGCAAAAAATATATACATATAATAAACTGATCCCTGACATGGTAACCTGGTTAAACCAATAGGAAATGGTCACTTTAAGCTAGACTATACGGTTCAGGGGCTTATGTGCGAATGAGTCAGAGCGTACTTAACGATGTTTTGCGAGGGAGTCTGCGACGTATTGACCAACTCCCAGCATGAAATACATTTAGCTTGTCAAGCAGGATGAATACGGCCGAGCTTGATCAGTCAACCCTCCCTCAGGGCGTGACAGCAGGCAGGAGAAATGGTCTCTGCGCTGGCAACCGCTCATCAGCGTTTTGTTGGCCGAAAAGTGGTCATCAGTTATGTGAGTGGACTAATAATGGTCTCCAGCAATCAAGTCAAACAATAAAAAAGGTGATCAGGAATAATTGTACATGTTATAGTGTTGCTGGTGTCGTAAGGTTCTGACAGATGGTTTGCAGCGTTAATGGGGCTGTTTAAACACTGGGGAGGACACGTTTTTAATTTTTTTGCTTGTTAATTTGTGTTTCTGATGATAATTAAGTCTATTATGATGTTGCACTGAAGCACCGAAGCTCCCTATTTGGCTTCAGAGACCTGCTTACGCCCGATGACGCCTCCTGTGTCGTGTGTTTTCTTTGTGTTTGTGTGTGCGTAGATGGAGCGTCAGATCCTGATGCAGAACCAGATGAGAGAGAGGCAGATGGCCATGCAGATCGCCTGGTCCAGAGAGTTTCTGAAATACTACGGCACCTTCTTCACAGTGGCCGCGGTGGGACTGACTGCAGGGTGAGATTTGTAGCGGATCACACGAAGCACATCTGTTACCAACACGTGCAATAATAACTCGCGGTGAGAGAAGAACCTGTGTCGGCCTGCGTGTGACGTCCGTAACGTGTGATCGTCACTGAACTTCACAGCTTCCGTATGAAACTAATCACACTTTTCTGTCCGGTGGCCTTTACTGGTTCTGGCTTTGACATTTGCTAAGTGTTAGACGCACTCGTCTAAGTTTAGGCTGCAGTCTCGCTTAAAGCACCAAACCACCTACAGGAGGCGCCATCGCCACGTTTAAATGACTATAAATCAGAGACATTTTATCATGAAAATTCAAATAAAGCAACACAACTGTTTCTGTGCAGCTGTGCACACTTTGATGCAAATCACACATTTCATTCTGTGATTAAAAGGAGGCAGCAGTTCTCTCTGTTTTTCTTACCACACACTGACAAAGGAAAATATGTAATTTTTCTTCTTAATATTTTTCTTCAGCGCCATTAAACGGAAGAAACCGGCCCTGTTGGCTCCCATCGTTCCTCTCAGCTTTGTAGTTGTCTACCAGATGGACAGTGCCTACGGGACGCTAATCTATCGTATGAGAGGTGAGACTGCACGGCCATCGTCAACTCCTCTGTTTCAACCACACACTTATTACACACACATTTATACTATAAATACTGTAGATCATGCTATACAGACAATAATTATTGGTTTATGACACACTGCAGCACAATAGTGTAGTTTATTAATTTGTGTTTATTGAAATATTAAACAAATGTAACTCTAAGTGTCTTAAACTTGCTGTAAATGTGTATAAACGGTTTATAAAACATGCAAGGTTAACTGGAGGAGATCGTGTTACTCCTTAGAAACCGTACTAAACCGCACTCATAGTCCACACATCTCTGTTTCTTTAGCACCAAACAGCTGCCATAATAGATTATCAGACATATCTTTATTTTAATTTTCATTCATATGAAGAAATTAAAAACAAAAAAAAATGGATCCATCCATCTCTGAATTCATTCTAAAACCAACTACTTTCCTGATTTTTACCGCCACCTGCGACTAAGCACGAGATTCAGTGTTTAGAACGAGTTTAATGAGTTAGTCTGGATAACCTGGAACCTGAGCAAAACTGGATTCCTACAGATATGAGGATTCATTTTTGTTCAGTGTACCAGTGTATCATATGTGTCATAATAATAATAGATATGTACATGTTTTTATGTATAAAACTACTGACAATGGGATTATAAAAAAGCTGTGTTGTATTCAGAATCATTCATTAGCATTTTACGCCCCACTCATTAATGCTGCACGAGGAGGACTTACACTTCTACAGCTGCACTACTGTATGTTAGTGTTTTTTAAGTACAGCTCATAAATGCTTGTGCATTAATCATAGTAACTGGACTTGCTTGAGTTCCTTGAAGACGTTCCATCTCTTATCTAAGAGGCTTCATCAGTTCTGACTGACTAGGTGGGAGTTCCAGATACTGATATCCTAAAGGAGCCAATAACAAATGAGTTGCGGTTTCAGTTGGGGGTTTGTTGCTCGTCCCCCCAGTTTCTACGATTAATCTACGAGAATAACCACGACCTGGATGACTGAGAATCTTCACAGACTCAGCTCATAAATGTTAAGTAGTGCAGGCAAACTAAACCAGAGTTTGATTGTTAGCCATAAAACACAGTCTTTATATTAACATTTGCATGCAGCTTAAATCATAGGTGGGGAGCTGATGCACCTACAGAGCCATGATGATTGGCTGTAACCTTAACGTTAATCTTTCCTAGAATGCAGGTCGCAGTTGCAAGACGGCGACACTCTTACAACTTTTCATAATTTTCCAATCTTTCAGCTAAATTTGTGAAATGTGGCTCATGACTTTTTGGGCGTCATCTTTGTAAAGTTATTCCTCACCATGTCCTGCATCCAGATCCTTGACTCTTTAAACATCTCATTAGTAGATCGTCAGCCTCTAACATGGTCCCATCCCAGTGTCAGGTCTGGTAGCAGTAGGGGAGAACTGTGACGCACTAAGATTGAATGAATAACTAATAATAATTACTGGCAGAAACCCAATAATTCACATTGAATAGGTGACGTATAAACAGCTCAGCCTGCTAATTTGAGAGAAAAAAAAATAGCTACTTCAGTATTAATGGGACAAAAATGATGCAAGAGTTTCCCACGTTGCAAGACTCTGAGTCTGTCTCTTATCGTACCTTTAGGGGAGGCTGAGAATATCCTGGCGTCCGAGCGCGACCGCCTGGACATGCCTGAGGGGATTCCAACCTTCGACAGCATAGAGAAGGCTCGTCGAGCTCGAAGCAGCCTCGCCTCCTTTTTGGAGAAATAGTTGAGACAAACTCCGAACCGTCCAGTCGGTGCATTCACCTGTGCTGCTTTCATTTAAGTTTGGAAAATCAAATGCCATCTGCCTTTTTTTTTTATTTAAAGGAGTTCATGGTTTGCACTACTTTCTGTATCATGAACCTGGAGGAGCAATACGCATCAATGTAATGGTGTTTTGTTTTTGTTTTTTTTTGTTATGACAGATGCGTTAGTAGCCAAGTAGTTCATCAGCATTTTTAAAGCACAGTACTGAAGCTAGTTCATAAAACATTTCCTATGCAGTCGTATAATGAACCTGGGTACGTAGCAGTTATCAAACAAATTGCTTATTGATTGTGCTCTTAATTAAAGGTGCTTTAAGTGATTTTCAACCACTAGAGGGCAGAAGAGAGCTGATGAATGTCAGCCAGTCAGGGTCCTGATGTGTCAGCAAGCAAAGCTACTGAAACGCCTGTGCCAATAAACACAGACAGTTCTGTATTAACTTGCCTTTTTAGCTCTTTTTCGATCACGTTTACCCGCTACGATGCTTCATGTTGGATTCCTGTAAAATCAGCAAACATATTTCAATACAAAAACGGCACCTAATGGAACATAAATTGTCTGCAGAAATTTGTCCTGACAGCTATAGATTGTTATTATTCCAAATTGTTTTACTTGTCATACTGAATTAAATGATTTTATTCAAACGCTAAAGAGCTTCCTGCCAAAGCAGCTGCAACCGTTGTGTTTACTACGGCGCTTGAACGGATGTAAAATATTCCAAGGCTCTGATATTTATGCCTTCTGTATTTTAACTCGGACAATTCGAAACTGTATTTGTAAATTCAATTTAAAAAAAATATAAGAATTTTCTTGTCTTAAATTGTGTTTTTTTTTTGGAGCATGCATGCACAACTTCTGACATGATTTTATTTCAAACCTAAACCACCTACAGTCTTAGTTTCGTCCTGGAGAATGTACAAAATGTCACAAATGCCTCGTAGTTGTTTCGAGTCATCGCTGCTGATGTTTTTTTATTTTTTATATTTTCCCCTCCTGCTCCAGCTGAGATAGCCTGTGAGTAATGTGTGTGCATAGTCTCACTTAATATTATTTCCTCAGTATTACTACATGAAAGAAATAACTCCAAGTACGTCATTGTCATCAATCTAAATGACGTGTGTGTGTGGCTGCTTCTGTGTGAGTGTGTGAGGGAAGGGAGGCAGGGAGAGGGTTGGGGTTTGCATTGTAGGTCGACGAGTGAACTATATAAAGTGTCCACTGGCTTAGAGAGGAGCAGGAGAAGACACAAGACTGACCGACAGAAGCGTCTGAATGGGCTGCAAGTGAATGAGGAAAACCAAGCGGGAGTTGCATCATCTTAAGACCAGAGGTGGAACTCATCTGTGCAGCTCACACAAAAAGAAAAAAAAAAACCCAACAAAAGCTTCCTTCCAGACGAGTTTCAGGGAAAAAAAGCGAAGATGCTCTGGAGATTGACTCTTGCCTTGGCCGTGGTGTGCAACTGTGTGAAGGCTGACGTGATGAGCAGGCTGATCCTGCCCAGGGACTATGGGGTGAAACTGTGCGGCAGGGAGTTTATCAGAGCGGTCATTTTCACCTGCGGCGGCTCCCGGTGGAAACGGTCTGCGGAGGGCGACCTGGGTGAGTTTCACTGATTGCTTGATTTGTGCGCTGTAATGCAACAGGTGTAGATCTGAAAATAGCTCAGAAAAAAATCTCAGGCATGTTCCAAGATATAAGAAATCTGCACTGAAGCATCTGTAGGAAAGTGAACATACTGGAGGAGTGTGAGGGGTTGATTTCTCAGTTAGGGTGGAGGTGATTAGACAGGAAGGAGCTGTAAGGATGGTTTTCTGTTCTTACATTTTTGGAATTTTGATTATTCCTGTGTTCATTCTCGAAAATATTCCATTCCTGGTTGCCTTTGAGGTAAATAAACACCCTAAACTTCTTTTTCTGTCTCCAGATCCTTACCAGTGGAGCTCTCTCAGCGAGGTTACAGAGCAGGACAACCAGCAGGTGTGGCGACGTGCAGCAGACCTCACAGACGGCCGCTCCTCCCTCCACGTCGCCTCCTCTCACTCCCTTTCGGACCTCCTGGCTCTTTACCGGGCCGCGGGAGACGTTCAGCAGCCGAGTGTCTCGGACCCGACGGGGGACTCGCAGCAATCTGCAGTTTTAGGCGAGCGAGAGGGTGGAGCTCCTGACTGGCTCGTAGGGAGCAGGAAGAAGAGGAACTTTTCTCTAGGAGTGGCGGGCATGTGCTGTAGCCAGGGCTGCACCAAGAACGACATCGGACGCTTGTGCTGAGGAAGGGAGGGGAGGAAGGAATGATGGTGTCGTAGCGTGAAGCCGGCGTGATGTCGAAAGAAAGAAAGAGTTCACATCTCACATCACTCCGGCTTCACGCCTCGCAGTCACGCTTCATTCATTCTCCTCAGTTATTTGTTATTTTGTTTTAAAAGAATTCAAGTCGTGTGTGTGTGTGTGTGCTGTATGTCCCCCTGTCCTCCAATAAATTTTAAATACTGTGTTACTATGAAGCAGCATCGTACATTGTCTTGAGCAACGAGCAGCGTCCAGACTGTGGCCTGCAGACAGTCTGACCGGACTGCATCTATACTAATACACGACAATATCACACATTAACGTCATTTAGGCTGCGCTGAACGTATCGGTGGCCGTTGTTCACGACATTACGCCCGCCTGAACGTTTTCTGTCAACGCCTGGAGGATATTACAGAGAAGGAGTGGATGTTTTAGCTTTCCTTTAACCCTTTCAGATAAAACGAGCGTTTGACCTCTGAGTAAACCTGAACAATATCATTTATGGTCTAAATGCAGAAATCATTTTGCGGAGCGTTAAATGTCGGGCTGCTCAAAAACAAGCACTGAATGCACACGACATATACACATTTAATACTGACATCTTACAACCCAGGCTTACGTTCATCAGCACTGAAACAGACTAAACATGAAATAAACGTGGGGAGGAAACACCAGTTGAATGTGGTTGAGCATCTTCTCTTTTTATGAAAATCTTTGGATACATAAATAATTCGAGGGTACACAGCAAATGCACAAAGAGTACAAAAAAAATCTGACAAAATTATGAATCCAAACAATAAAAAAACCCAAACAGCAATGCATTTGTCTGTTAAATTTACCAAATTTAAATTCAAATAAACCCGCAATCTCCATCGAAGCAAACCAAACGTTTATTTCACCGCAGACTTTTCTAGAAAGAAATATTCCGGGTGGCCACGTCAGTAGAAATGCTGTCCATCGAGGGCATCACATCATACAGACAAACACAAACTTTGCTCTTTACAGTGACTCATTGCTAATGATGTGAGAGGGTATCCTCGACATCGTGAGTGTGTGTCTGACTTTCCGTTAATGGCGGTAAACAACCTTGGAGAGTTTCTATACACGTTTGAAAAAAGAAAGAAAGATGCCGCACCACAAACTGCATTCTGTCTCCTCTCAAATAATGACCGACCGAGCTCCTTCAGTCATTAACATTTGGCACATAAAGTCTTCAACATTCAAGTTCTACAAAATAAAAACAATACAAAATTCCCTTGTGACCACAGATGCGTTCGTGGTGGATAATGCAATGCACGTTGACATATTCACAGACTGTTCGGTTGGGAAAATAATGACATGAACACGAGTCAAAGAAGTTTTTAAATAAAACTACAGCAAGAAACTGCTGCAGAGGAACAAAAGCACCTCTCTTCATTACTTTTTCTTCCCCACATTCAGCAAAGTAGAATATTTTCAAATGTACAGGCGGATAGTACAGCCACTGAAAACATCAGACTGCGTTTATAAAATATATACCTGTTAATTATTCATTACAAAAGGTTGCTTTACTACAAAACGAGAACGACAAAACCCGACTGTATGAGATCAATGAGCAGTAATTGTTGCCTCTGATGTAATATTGTCAGGAATGATGTAAACGAAGGCTGTTGAACTCCAACCTCGGTATGTGTTGCTTCGCCAGCTCGAAGAACCTTCCTTAGCATGAACTGAATATCTGTGAAGTCCTCTGAAACAGCAGGAATCTGTCATCATTTGTAGAGATCATCATGGCGAGTCCTCATCAGGCGATGCCCTCCATTTATGGACTTTTAAAAACCAAGAGTCTGCAGGAGGAGACCAGCTCAATTCTAGTCATTCATGAAAGCAGTGAGGTTCAGTTCTGGTGAATCACACGGCCTCTTTGGTCATGAACAGTGACTTCCTGCTCACTTTACAACAATAAAAGCTCAGAGGAGCTGCTGCTTGTGGAACTAATGTGTGTTTAACAAAAGTCAATGCCTATTCTTGCTCAATCTGTTAAACACGACACATACAAATAAAATAACTTATGCCAAAAGTAAAACCTTCTTAAAGGCATCAGAAACAATCTTCTGTTTTAATGTCGGAGCTGGATGTAGTGTACACGGTACTGAGATCATTCGTATGCTTCACGCGGCCGTAGAAAGACGAAGGTGAATATCACCGTCAGTCCGACTACAAAAGGCTGCAGTAAAGGCAGGCACCAGGTTGTTGAGGTGAAGGACTCGGGCGGGGTTCAGGGATCATCCGTCCTTGAGGTTGTCTCGTACGGAATCCACAGTCTGGATTAATGTCTTGAAAGTCGGCCGTCGGCTCGGGTCTTTGCTCCAGCACTCCATCATGACCTTGTGAATCTGAGGAAGCATCAGAATGAGAATATTAAAATAAATATAAAATGGATGCATACTATAGGAACAAATTAGTAGAAGGCTTCTGTAGATGGCAGTGTTGGCCAGTTCACCAGTTTGGGGCAAACTAAAATACTCCAACAAAATTCAAAATCTGTTGCTGATATCGTGGTGGACACCTGGGATCTTTCTGCGTGGAGTCTCCATGTTCTCCCCGTGCAGCGTGGGTTCTCTCCAGGTTCTCACAGTCCAAAAACATG